ACTTGACACAATGGATATATGTATGGATTGTGATAAGAATTGTACGAAGCCCCAATAAAATAATCAGAGGGGGAGGAGTTGTTGAATGTAAAATTGTAATCTGCTCTCTAACCCTCCACCGAATCCATGATGCAGTTCAAAAAACAACACAAAAGGGCATTTGGTTGGTTTTGAAGGCTCAATCATGTTAGATATTTTTCTTCCGGACTCATAACTTGAAAGCTAACGTTTATGATTAGTAAACAGACTTGGCAAAAAGGAACCACCTAATGCTTCATGACTTGCTCACACGTTGTTCTTGCCATAATGTATTTGTCTTATATGAAATATTAAATATAACCTTCAAATCAATAGCCACCAGCAGTAAAAATAAAAATGATTGTGTAAGTCAGAGACACTGAGCTAAAGTATCTTAAAGAAGTCCACCAAAATATTGATTGAATAGCATTTCAGGATCAGAATCATTAGAGGTATTTTAATATGAAAGTAATCCCCCAAATTCTAAATTATTTTTGGATATACAAATTTATTCCAGAGACTAGTGTATTAAGAAAACATGTTAAATGGGAGAGACAAGTCAAAAGAATTTCATTTTTTTTAATGAAGCGTCAAAAGCAATTGTCCTCTCTCATTGCCACTGCTCAGCTAAAATGGAGTAAGAAAGGACTGTTTAACTGGACCATATTTTGTTACTAATCATTAAAAAGGTACTTAACAGAAAATTTCAGAATTACTTTTGCACAAGCCAACATGAAGTTTTCTCTCTCTCTTTGAAGGCCATGTTTGCCCTCCCCCCAACTCATTCTGCAACTTTATTGTTTCCTGTTCTGACTTTATAGATGTTCCTACCTTGTCACCAATTTGATAGTCAGTGTATGATTTATTGTTTTCCCATCTGTCCACTCCATTGATAGGATTACTTTTTCTTTGAGCTCGAAAAACTTCTGATCCCCACATATGGTTTGTGTAGGCAAGCACATCTGCACAGGCACCACTTGATGGAAAGCAGCCCACAAGACAGCAGCAGCCCACCTCTTGAATATTCATCTCGCCTCCTCCAGGTTCTGACTGCCCCCCTAACACACGGCACATGGGAGATAAAGCTGCCACTAAACCCATGCATCCTGGACTTCGCCTTAAGGGTAGCATATGGTCAGTGAGAACGCCTTTACATGCACACTCGTTCACTTAATGATTACATTTTTATCTCACAACAACCCATTCCAACAACCAATGCTATGTCTTTTTTTTTTCAGTTTCTAGAGCATGCTTTTATTTTCTTAAATAAATTGTATTTATGTAACCAGAAGTTTGCCTTGGCAACATTTTTCGCACATACAATTCAGTGACCAGAGTCATCGTGATCTCGCTGATCAACAGACGCTCAATGTCCCCTAAGCAGTGAGTCCATCTACCCCACCAGCTCCTTGTAACCACCAAGAAACCGAACCTGCTTCTTCTAGATCTTGCATGTAAGAAGGACATAGACTATTTGTCCTTTCTGCCTGACTTCGCCTGGCATCATGTTCTCAAGGACCACCCGTGCAAGCTGTATTCCAGTACTCTGCAGCTCGGGACTGTTCCGTTGGATGGAAACCCCACCTTTTCTTTATCCCTTCGTCTGTGGGCCTGTTGGTGGACATTGGTCTGTTCCTACTTTTTGGCTGTTGTGAATAGCCCTGCATTTTTACAGTGAAAAAAACAAAAACCGGTGCTGAAGGGACTGAAGGCTCTATTGCCCAAGGCTCCACAACAGTAAGAGAAGGGCTGAATCTGAATGTGTAGGAATTGTTGAATGTAAAGCGATGTTCCGCTCTCTAGACAGATGCCCACAGATGGTGATCCACTAGGTTCTCATTCATATCCAGGGTCCAAGCTACACCCGTGGTATACTGTATCTTCTTTCATTCAGCATGTCTGCAGTGTTCAGTCCCTATCAAGTTAGTGCACTGGGGCGGTCTGTGTCATGTCCATATGTTCTAAGTGCTATCAGAATGCAAAGGAACACTGGTGATTCAATGGTTAAAGCACTCAGCTGCTAACAAGTCAGCAGTTCAAAGCCACTAGCCATTCCATGACAGAGAGATGAAGCTGTCTACCCTCATAAAAATGTTGTGGTTGTTAGGTGCCATCAAGCCAGTTCCGACTCCTAGCAACCTTGTGTGCAACAGAATGAAACAATGCCCACTTCTGGGCCGTCCCCACCCACATATTGTTCTTATGTTTGAGCCTATACAGTTGCACAGCCTCGGAAACTCTCTTGGGCTGTTCTCCTCGGTCCTATGGAGTTGCTATGCTTGGGAACTGACTTCATGGCAGTGGGTTTGGGGTATCAAAAAGCAGTATTTTCAACTTCTCGACATTGCCAGAGAAAGAGACCAAGGTATCTTTTTTCAGAATTCATATTTTGTAAAATTCTGCTTATGGTCCACTAAAACCAAACACATTTGATTTTGCTTGATTAAAGTGCAGGAACTATTATCAAAAGCACTTCCTAGCACTTTTGTTTGGAATTTGAGTAATAAAGTCTAATGCACTGATCTTTTAAATCCATCACTTCGTCTTCTTTTTTTCTCAAGTTTATGCACAGTGTACATGGTCTACAGAGTCAAATGTATTGGCACTATCAAATGGCAAATACACTGGCAAGAAACATCTTTCTGAAACACAATAAACATCAG